TATTCTTGCCTGGGAAATCCCATGCACAGAGGAGTCTGGCGGGTTACAGTCCGTGGGGCCGCAAAGGTCGGACACGACTGAGCACACACGTGAGACTGTCACGCCTCTGAGTCCCCATGTTCTTCCGTGCCCCCCAATAACCCTCCTCCGAGCCTCCCCAAGCTCGCTGAGTGCCGCTGGCCCCCCAGCCACCTTTGCAGGCTTTCCACGCCCCTTCTCTGCACCTCCTCTGTGGCTTGGGTCTCACAGTGCCCCCCTGCCTCTCTGCCCCCCAGGCCTTCCGGGGGCTCCCCGCGGCCCCTCGCTGTGAGCCCCCGTGACCCTGTGCCCGCGGGCCCCACCTTGCTGGTCCGATCGTAGCTGTCGTGCAGCTGCAGGTGCTGCCCCACCTTGCTGCTCAGGTCCACCCACTTGCCCTTGAACCACTTGACCACGGGCGGTTTCAAGAGGCTGGCTCCGGCCACGCGGGCTGAGAAGGTGATGCTGCCACCTGCAGGAGAGGGGTGATCGTCTGGGCTTGGGGGGCGCCCTGTGCCTCCCTCCCCCACCTCACCCCAGGGGCAGCAGACCCACACTCACCCACGGTCACCTCGCCGTCCTGTGGCCTCATCACAAAGAGGCCGATGGGGTCATCAGGGGCACCAGGGCCCTCGGGGGCCGCTGAGCTGGACCCTGTGGGCAGAGGAGTTTGAGACCTGCCCTGGGACACTGCCACCCACCAACCTGGCCTCCCTGCCCCGCTCCTCTCACCTTCGGGACTCGGGGAGCCTCCTTCCACCTCAGGGGCGGAGGTCAGGGCCTCTCCAGGGGCTCCAGGGGCCTCAGCGGGGGTGGGAGCAGGCACTGCCACAGGCTCCGCTTTCCCTGAAGGGGATCAGGTCCAGGGTTGTGGAGCAGCTTCTAACCAGAGCCCCCTCCCCCCACACACACCGGTTCTCTTGTCCCTGGTCCTTCCCATCTTTGCAGAAGTCAATTCAGCCTGCGTTTCACCTTCTCCCTGCCCTCACCAGCTGTCTGTCCCCTCATCTCAGAGGGTCAGCCTGAACATCCCTCTTCTCTTCTTCCAGGCTTGGATCTTGGTCCAGCCCGTCAGGTTGGGCTGGGGCTTGGCACACGCCCACAGGTTCGCGGGGCTTCCCTGCCAGCACACCCAGCCCACCAAGTTCCCATCCATGTGGGGGTGTCCAGCGGGAGGTCAGTGTTATGTCTGACTCATCTCTGAACTTCCCCCACCTCCGGAACGGCCCAGATGGGCCGGGGAGCCTCGTGGGGACACTCAGAAAGGTCTCGCTACAGAAAACAGGAAAAGGCCACGGCCGGCTGAGGGCACACCCAGATCCAAGGCAAGAAACTGGGAGGACATCTCCTGTGCCATGATTGACAGAGAGCTGGAGGGGCTGCTCCAACTTCAGGGAAGGCTGCCCAGGCGCTCACCTGCATCTATGACCTTGAGGTCAAACTTGACCTTGGAGGAGCCAGCGATGACCGCATAGGAGCCCTGGTCGGCGGGACCCACGTCCCGCACCGTCAGCGTGTGCCGCGTGCCCTCGGCTGCCAGGCCGTATTTGTCGCTGGCGCTGATGTCACTGCCCGCCCGCTGCCAGCGCACCTTCAGGCCTGCCCGCTCTGTCTCGGCCTCGAACACGGCAGGGCTGCCGGCGGCCACCTCTGCGGACCGTGGCTTCTTGCTGAAGGCGGAGACTGAGGGGCCAGTGGAGTTTGCAGGGGTCCCCTGGCTTGCCCCTGCACGCCACTCCTACATCCCCTCTTATTAAATAAGGTGATGAGTGCTTTCATGGATCACCTTGTTTAATGCTCCAACTGCTCTATGAGGTAGGTGCAGTTATTATCCCCAGAGGAGGGCTCCGAGGCTCAGAGAGGTTAAGTGACTTACCCAAGATCACACAGCCAGGAAGTGGGAGAGCCAGGCCTGTGGTCCACCCACCACACAGGAATTTTGCTGGGTGTGTCCCTGAAGAGCCCACCCTCTCTGCCTGTGGAAGCCCAGCCCCCACCAACGGGGGCCCTTGGCAAGGGGCCAGCACTCTGCCTACTTGGACGCAGCTAAAATTGTCCTCTAAGAGCCTGGGGCTGGGAATCAGCAAGTGAGATAAAGTTGGCCTGGGAGGGGGCTGGGGCTGGAGGGCTGATCCCCGACCTGGACAACCTTGGTAAGGCCAGGGTGGGGACTCCGGGCTGTGACTTTCTCCGCCCTTGGCGGTGGCTCAGGGACCTCTTGACCACCCTCTCCCAGAGCAGAGGGCCTGCATCACCTCAGTGTGGGGGCCGTGCCTGGTGTGGGGGCCACAGCGGCACAGGCTGCTAAAGCAGAGACGCTCAGAACTGGAATCGACCCACCCAAGTCCTCTTTGTACAGTTGGGGAAACCGAGACCCAGAGAGGGGAGGGGCCCATCCAAGATGTTCAGGGAGACTGCTGGCTCGAGTCTGGAGCCATCCTGGGGGGCCTCCTGCAGCAGCCTTTCCCCAGAAGGCAAGCCGGGACCTAACCTTGCTGCAGAAGATGGGGATGGAGGCAGGGAAGGGGCCCCCCGGCATCCTGACAGTGGGGCAACAGCCCTGGGGCCTTCCTGCCTTGGCTGTCTCCCCCTCTGGGCCCCTGACCCTGGTTTACCCTCACTCTCATCAAAACAATAAGGAGGAGAAAGTGAGAGTCGAAAAAGAAGCCAGGAGGACAGAGCCCCTATCCTGGGAACCCCTCAGAAGCTCATTCCTGGGCCCACCCCCAGCCGCGGGTGCCCCCAGCCCTCCCTGCCCCACGCTCGGCCCCAGCCCAGGCCTGGAGCTACCTGGCTTCTTCCCTGCCTCGGGCATCTCGAGAGAGGTCACAGCAGGAACCGAGCAGGCACGGCCACCCGAAGAGACTCTGAGCAGGGATCCGGTCCCCGACTATATAAGGGGCCGCCCCCTCTCCCGGCCCTCCTTATCTGCACCCTGCCTGGCCACCTGCTAAATATAGACAAATTCCCGAGATCAAGGGCTCTCCAGGAGAATGTGTGGCCCTGGCTTTCTCCTCTGGCTCCAGCGCCTCCCGCACCAACCCAACAGGACAGATTCTGCCCCCCAACTCTCGGTGAACACAGGGGCACCCCAAGCCCCGTTCGTGTGTCCTTGTGACAGGCAAATTGTGCAGTGGGAGTGTGCGGGGCCCAGAACCCTGACGCTGTCGGGTCAGATGCATCCGTGTCGGGCGATGGTTACGTGCACAGACCCCGAGTCCCGGCTTTCCTCCTCTGTGTCCTTCTGCCCCCCACAACTGCCTCCACACCCCCGCCCCCCCAAAGTCACAGAGAACATCAGCGCTACACAGGGAGAAGCAAATCACATGTGACCTACTGTGAGCAAGACCCACTATCAGGGAAGGTCGTTTGAACCCCGCCCCGCCGTCAGGAGAGAGGAATTCTATACACAAGCATTGTCCGTGTGGTCAAAACTTGCCATCCCTTTCAACATAAATCCATTCTCTTCTGCCATTTTAACCATGTTTAAACTGCATCTCATGTCGCTGGGCCGTCTTTCAAAAGGAATTGGGGCTTTGGGACGTCCCTGGTGGTCCTAGTTAGGACTCTGTGCTTCCACCGCTGGGGTCCAGGTTCAGTCCCTGGTGGGGGAACCAAGATCCCATATGTCATATGGCACAGCCAAATATTTAAAAAACAAATTAATTAATCCATAAAAATTCAAAGAGACTGGGCTGCACTCTCCCTCTCTCGGGGCTCAGAGATCCATGGAGGGGGATTATGGTTGGGTTTCCCCAGCCTGAGGGCTCAGGTCACTGTGCAGGGTGTCTGCCCCAACACAAAAGGCACCAGAATCTGGCTTCTCTGAGGTCTGCAGGTTGCTCAGGAAAGTTGCCTCACTCCCAGGCTCTCGGTTGCCTCTTCTTGCTTCTGTTGGAAGCAAAGCCCGTACAGGTTTCATGGCTCATCTTTTTCTCTCTCCCCTGCTGTGGGCCAGAGGCCAGAGCGACCAGACGCCAGGGTACATGGGAGGAGTTCACTTGTGTCAGGGTCCTGCCAGCAGGGATCCCGTGAGCTGCTCTGCTGCTGACGGGAGCTCTGGGGCTTCATCCTTGCTCCTGATCAAGCTGCACTTTACCCCTTTCCAGACACATGAAGCTTCCTGCCTCACGTGGCCATGGCAGCCCTTCACTCCACGTGTGACCTTGGACAAATTAGTTGACCTCTATAAGCCTCAGTTTCCCAGTTTATAAAATGGGGCATTAGGTTCCACTTCTCAAGGATAACACGCAGTAAATGGCTAGAATATCCAGTGTTATTGCCCTTATTATCATCATCATCATTGGGCTCATTAACAGAAAGATTCAATGAGTTTAAGCCTCATTGAAACATTAAAAAAAAAAAAAACCAACCATTTATCAGGTACAGGGAGCTTTTTAATGATTTATTCCTCTAAGAACAACTGAGAATTCGTTCCCTCCGTGGATCACAACAGCAAGTCAGGCAATATCAATTGTCTGCACAAACTGGACAACTAGAGAAAGTGTCAACCATCCCGAGGTCTGCAGGTCCAGCACTGGCGAGGATCCTTAGTAAACACTCAATGGACAATTGAGAAGGCAGATCAGATGTCGGGGCTGGGGTGCGTCAGACAAGGTGCACAAAAGATTTAAAAAACAGCATTTCCGGGCTGAAGAAAACTGAGAATAACTTTAGGTAAATGGGTTTATTGAGAATGCTGATGGGGGTAGAGGTGTGGGGAGAGAGGGCCACTGAAAAAAAAGGGGGTTCAATATACACAAATAATGACGGCTTCCAACTCCCAAGGCCGTTCGCCCCGTACTAAGCAAGCTGACCCTTCGCGGGGGCCAGACGCCCAGATGGCCTTCCGGAGCCGGGCCGGCGCCCTGGTGGGAGGCGAAGCAAGGGGTGTGGGGCGGGCAGGGGGCTTGGAGGAGGAGGGGGTGGGCGGGGAGGCGAGGCCTGGCCCGCCACAGTCCTGCCCCTGGGAGCTTCCCTCCTGTGTCCGGCCGCCCGGGCGAAGGGGTTAATGCTATGGCCAACGGGGCGGCCTGGCGGCCCGGTGCGCTCAGGCCTGGGCTCAGTGGGGCGGGTGGCGCCGCTCGGCCAGGCCCCCGCGGCCCAGCACCTCCCCGCTGAACTGGTAGGTGAGCTTCTTCTTGACCTTCTTGACCTCGCCCGTCTTGCCGTAGTTGCGCAGCGCTCGGGCCATCTTCTGGTAGGTCATCTTCTTGCGGTTGCCCTTCTGGATGCCCCAGCGGTGCGCCAGCGCCTCCTTGTGCTTGGACGAGAACTGGAACGTGCCCTTGTCCTTGTCCACCCACCAGATGCTGTCCTTCATGTCGCCGCTGCGCAGCAGGTCCAGCAGGAACTGGTACAGGCGGATCTTCTTCTTGCTGCCTGCAGCCGGAGACGGTCAGCGCCCACGGCGGCGGGGACCCAGCCCGCCTCCAGGTGACGTGGGACCGCCCCCTCCTTCCCCGGGTGGGGTGGGCGCAGGGGCGGGGCTACGGCCAGCATGGCGCATGCGCACGCCCACAGCGCACGTGCTCAGACCCCGAGGTGGGGACGCACGCCCCCCCACCCCCATGGAACACACACGGAGACACGTGTTGGCAAACACACACCCGTACGCGAGCACTCTGCTCTGTGGCCAGGCTGCCGCGTCCGTGGGCCTTGATTGGGGTGGGGACGGGGACACAAGGATGGCCAGGGTGACGGCTGGGCCCAGGCTGGGTCAAGGGTGGGTCACCTACCTGTCTCCCCGTGCAGGAGGCCAGACCCTGGCTCCAGGCCGTCGGCCTCCCCGTCGGACACCTCCAGCGGGGGGCTCTGCCGCTCCCCCTCCTCTTCATCCGAGCTGGGCCGGGCGGGGGACAGCGAGGGGTACGGCAGGCACATCCGGGGCATGTAGGAGACCTGGGAAGGAGGCAGGAGGAGGGTTGGGGTCCCTGAGGGACCAATGAAGGCGGCCAGGTAGGGGAGGGTCCTGGGGCGCGGTGGCCAGTGGGGGGCAGAGGGACTTGGGAGAAGGCTGGGGACACTGGAGGTCGCGCGGGTTATGGAGTCATACGGGGTCAGCACACACAGGGTGCCGGTGGTGGGGACAAAGGGGCTCCTGACACCCCACCTGTCTCCCTGGTTTGGGCGGCGGGAGGTGCCACGTGGACAGGCAGCTGCCCTGGGGTGAGGGGCTGAGGAGGAGGGTCGGCCAACGGAGTCAGCGGGGAGATGGGGAGGTCAGCAGATTTCAGAACTCAGTGACTCGGATGCCAGACCCACGAGGAGCCAGGGAACGAGGTGGGGGCTGCAGCCCCGGCGTTTCAGAGGCCCCCGGGGGTCAGAAGGACCCGTGGGGGTGGGGTGGGGTGGGAATGGTCTGGGCTCCGTCCTCGGTGGGGCGGGCGCAGATAAGGGGTGCGGGGTCACGAGGTCAGCCGGGGGGTCAGGAGGCAGCCGTTGGGGCTCCGGCCGCCGTTGGCGCTGTGGGGCAGGAAGCCGGGTTGAGTAAGAGGCTGTGTCAGCTTCCTGCGGAGCGCCCGCCCCACCGCAGGCGCGGGCCGGGCCGGGCCGCCGCGCAGGCACGCACCTGGTGGGGGCCGAGGCTGGCGTGGGGAGGAGCCATGGGGGCGTCGAGCACGTGCATCTGCTCCAGCTCCATGTGGCGATAGAGCTGCTGCAGCTGCGGGGGCTGCACGCTCTGCAGCTCCGTGAAGTGGTTCTCCGCGAAGCTCTCGAACTCGCTGTGCACGTGATGCGGGTGGAAGTCCCAGTAATGGTCTGCGGGCCGGGGCAGGAGGGGCTTACGATCGTGTGAAACATTATGGGAACAACGATAGTGTGTATTATATATAACTATGTACGATAACTATACATAATATCATATATATAACAATAATAGTATGTATAAAAATAACAGTGCCAGGCCTTGTTCCCTGTCATAATCACCGCCGCCATTCTGGGCTGCAGATTGGCATTAATTGCAGCACCACCCGTCCTGTTATTTTCCGACCCCCAATTGTATAGATGGGTCTTCCCCAGGTAGCTCAGATGGTAAAGAATCTGCCTGCAATGCGGGAGACCTGGGTTCGATTCCTGGGTCGGGAAGATCTCCAGGAGGAGGACATGGCAACCCACTGCAGTATTCTTGCCTGGAGAATCCCGTGGACAGAGGAACCTGGCGGGCTGCGGTCCATGGGGTCGCAAAGAGTCAGACACGACTGAGGGACTTTAGAATACTCAGAATATGCTATGGATGAGGACACTCAGGCTTGGAGAGGCTACATGACCTGCCCACGGTCAAAGGCCGTGAGGCAAAGCCTTTGGTGCCTCCCACGCCCATTCCAACGATGCCAGTTTTTGAGCCAGAGTCCGAATCCGGCTGTTTCCTTTCTGTGTGGCCTCAGGCACTTGCATTGACCCCTCTGTCAAACAGGGATGCTAGAACCTAGGAGGCTCCACGCAAGTTCACCTTTGTAAAACCCCCTAGCCCCAGAGCCTGCACTCGGGAGTGTGTGGAATCGCTTCTCCTGCCCTTCAGACGCAGCAGTGGTTCCTGAGCTGACTGGCTGCCCGCAGTCACAGCTCACTGCCCTGTCACACGGCCGAGGTGTGACTGCAGAGTCACAGGGCTGACATTCCTCAGCCGAGCTCCCCCTGCGGCCCCTCCAAGGCCGCGTCCTTGGGGAGCTGCACCTGAGTCCCAGGGAGGTCGCCGCGGCACCCGAGGCTTTCCCGGAAAGCCCCTGGTGGGTGCTTTCAGAGTCTGCGGCAGGGTGGATTTGAGTTTGGGGAACAGCTCCGTGCCACTGGGAGCCTGCCTGGGCCTGGAGCCGGTCTTCAACGTGGTTACTCTGGGCACCTTTTCCAGGAACAAAAACCACCACATGTCTGAGGGCTTCCTGGGTACTACTTGGAGTCCCAAAGATGTGGTGACAAAGCGGCAAGAGGAATTTTTCCCGTGTGACCCAAAGAGGGAGTGTACAGGATGCTGAGACAGGCCAGCATCTCCGGGACTGGCACGGGGCCCTGCAGGGGGACCGTCACCAGCCTCCCGTGCGTGTCTTGTGTGTCGTCTGTCTGTCTCCCCCCTCTCACAAACACATCGTCGCTCACGCATCCCTGAGAAACGACACGTGTGGTCTTGGCTCCGCACTGGCTCTCAGAAGACTCACTCATTTTCCAGTCCTGCCCTGTGGTGGCTTTGCCTTGTGACCCTGAGCAAGACATTTTATCTCCCTGAGCCTCTGATTCTGCAAAAGTCAGAGACCCAACTGGGCAGTTGCTGAGGTCCGGTTGGCATGTGGAATTATTTGAACCCACAGTCCAGACTGCCACTCCCGTGAAGCTGCATGGCATGGGGAGCCGATTGGGGCGGAGCTGGGTTTGAATGCTGCCCCTGCCGCTCACCCCTAAGTGACACTAGGCAGGTGGTTCTGCTTCTCTTAGCCTGTTGTCTCGGCTGTGAGATGGGGCTAATAACTACACCCAGCTCACGACACAGGCTTGCTGTGAGGATTAGATGAGCTAATGCTTGCAAGGCACTTCGAATGGAACCTGGCACAAAGTAAGACTCAATAATCATTAACTATTATCATTCCAGGCTTCTCAGGTGGCTCAGTGGCAAAGAATCTGCCTGCCAGCGTAGGAGTTGCAGGAAGCGCAGGTTCGATCCCTGGGTTGAGAAGATTCCATGGAAGGAAATGGCAACCCACTCCTCCTTCCCTGGAGAATCCCATAGACAGGGGAGCCTGGTTGGTTGCAGTCCATGGGGTCCCAAAGAGTTGGACACCTGAGCTACTGACCACACACATACACCCGTTATCATAATGATAATTATTATGAATGTTTAATGCTGTCTTTAGAGAGCCTAAATCAGCACCTGAGCAAACAACAGATACTTTAATACTTTTCAGCTCCTCTTCTTCTCCTGCTCTCTGCCACCTTAGTCCGTGGTCCAGAGAAATAGTTTGAGGGATCCTGGCTGTCTCTTTCTCCCAGAAGCTTAAGTTGGGACCCCAAGGTTGCACCAAGGGCAGAGGACTGGTTTTGTTCACCTTCATATTCCCAGTGCCTAGACGCAGTAGGCATCTTGATGCTTTTGAACTGTGGTGCTGGAGGAGACTCTTGAGAGTCCCCTGGACTGCAAGGAAATCCAACCAGTCCATCCTAAAGGAAATCAGTCCTGAATATTCACCAGAAGGACTGATGCTGAAGCTGAAACTCCAGTACTTTGGCCACCTGATACAAAAAACTGACTCATTGAAAAGACCCTGAAGAAAGACTGAAGGCAGGAGGAGAAGGGGATGACAGAGGATGAGATGGATGGCATCACCGACTCAATGGACATGAGTTTGAGTAATCTCCAGGAGTTGGTGATGGACAGGGAAGCCTGGCGTGCTGCAGTACATGTGCTCGAAAAGAGTTGGACACGACTGAGCAACTGAACTGGCCGGAATTGAGATGCAGTAGGCACTGAAGAAGCATTTCCTGAGTGAAAGCATGAATCCTAGCTTCTTAAGAATTCTGACTCTCCTCCACCAAATTATCCAAATCTGAAGGGAAAACAAAACAAAATGACACTTATTTTGTACTTTCATTTTGCCTTGAGTTAATAAGACCCAGAAATTCTCCACTTGCTGAGAGAGAGTTGGCTTTGTCTGTATGGATGGGGCTCTTTGGGGCTCTGGGGTTACTGAGTGGGTCCAGATTCCTTTTTAGCTGTAGATCTGCCCTGGAGCCCCACTCCAGGCCCTCCCATTTTTGCCTTCTCCTGCCCAGGCCGAAGCCCAGATCTTCATAGAATGTCTTATCCTGCCCATGCGTGCATGCCAAGTCACTTCAGTGGTGTCCCACTCTTTGCCACCCTGTGGACTGTAGCTTGCCAGGCTCCTCCATTCCTGGGATTCTCCAGGCAAGAATACTGGAGTGGGTTGCCATGCCCTTCTCCAGGGGAACTTCATGATCTTTATGAAATGCTTTATCCTCCCCCTCAAATCCTCACACCTACTACAGGTCTTTTTTGTTTTTTGGGGGGAGGGGGCGGGTTTTGGCCGTGCTGTGTGGCATGTGGGATCTTAGTTCCCCTGCCAGGGATCAGACCCGTGCCACCTGCATTGGAAGCACAGTCTCAATCACTTGACCTCCAGGGAAGTCCCCCTACTCAGTTCTAGGTTGGGGGCGCTGAGTTCTCTCTCTCGGTCCCCACCTCTGTTCCAGCTCCACATGAGACCCACGGGCTCATTCTGGTGGTCCCAGCCTGAGGCCAGCACTTCCCACAGCAAGTCTCAGCACCCCCTGATTCGAGTCACTTTGGGGGCCAGAAAAGCTTGAGGATTTGGGGCCCATCGGAGACCCATGCGATCCGCAGCGCCGGAAGGAGATGGGAGAGTCTGGCCTTTCGCAGCACCCTACAGAGGTTTGTTTGCTCACTGAGGCTCAGGAACCCTGCCCTAGGGTCGCCTGAAACCGGCAACAGAGACTCTTGGGCTACAATTAAGGTTTCAAAAGGCCCAACGAAACCCTTTCCTCTACCCTTGATTTTGAGTGCTCGGGCAGTTATGTAATAAACACTGTTTGGTAGGCAGAGATGAGTCCTCTGAAGGAACATAATGCCACGAGTCCATCCTTATGCAAAGGTCAGCACGCCTGGGCTCTTTGGACCTTATTCCTAGATGACTGCTCCTGAATGCTTTTCTATATCCCTGCTGGTCACTTCAACAGGTCACCCAGACTCTCCTGCAACTTATGTCCCCTTAGCATGACTTTCTGCTCCTCAAAAGGACATAGTGTCAAGACTTCCCTAGTGGTCCAGTGGCTAAGACTCCGCACTCCCGATGCAAGGGGCCAGAGTTCAATCCCTGGTCAGGCAACTAGATGTCACAGGCTGCATCAAAGAGTTTGAATGCTACAACTAAAAGAAAAAAGATCCCACATGCCACAACTGGAAAAAAAAAAAAAGACCCGGCATGAAGCAATGAAGATCGAAGATCTGTGTGCCACAACTAAGACCAGGTGCAGCCAATAAATAAATCATATATTAAAAGTTAAAATATGGGAATATAGTGTCATTCACATATCCAGAGATAGCTCTGGACCCTCCCTTCTACAACCTGTAGGGCATTCAACACATACTAGGCTTCAGTCAATATTTGGTTAAATGACCAGTGAAAGCTTACTTTTAATGTGTCTTTTATGTACCAGGCACTGTACTAAATACTTAATCCACATTATGTCATTCAGTCCTCACCATGGCTCTGACAAAGTAGCCAGTATGGTATGATCTTCCTTTTGCCTATGAGGAAACTATGACTCAGAGACATAAAGTCCCTTGCCCATAGTCATTGGTAGAGTCAGGATCCAAACCCACCTGTGTATGACTCCAGGAACTAAACTCTTACCCCTATGCCATACCACTGCTGAGGACCAAGACAGCTAATGAAAGCTTTAAATAAGACACATGGTGACAGAATTTACAGACTGCTATTATCCATCTGTCTGTCTACCATCATTTACTCCTCATTCATTATTCATCATCTATCCATCATCCATCTGTCACCCAACATCATCTGTCATCCATCCATCTGTCTATCCATCCATCCACCCATCCAACATCCAACTATCATCTATCCATCTCATTCATCATCTGTCATTTAACCCACCCATCCATCATTTATCCAACCATCCACCACTGAACCTTTATTCATCCAGCCAGCAATGACCCATTCATCAACATCTTTCACTTCCACCCTCTAAACCAGCTTCCAGTCTGGGACCCTACC